TCCCTGATGCACACCTAACATTTGATTGTACTATTTTTGCATTCAAATGCAAATGTTTATTTTAAATTCAACTAATATTCATTTTTTTATTCACAATCACCTCATCACAGGCAGGTACAGCACTCATGTCTGTGTTTGTGTGTGCTGTCTGCGTCACTCAGAGCAGGTGCCTATATCGTGCACTATATCGAACATTTTTTATATCGTTATCGAAGAGGGTGCTAATATTCATTTTTTTATTCACAATCACCTCATCACAGGCAGGTACAGCACTCATGTCTGTGTTTGTGTGTGCTGTCTGCGTCACTCAGAGCAGGTGCCTATATCGTGCACTATATCGAACATTTTTTATATCGTTATCGAAGAAGGTGTACCATCGATAAATATCGATACCGTTTAATCACCCAGGCCTATAATTAACTATTACTCACGTATTAAGTCATACAACATTCCTTCCAGTTCGCTCTGACAATCTGGCCCCTCAACCCCCACAAATGCAAACTCCAAACCTCTCTTCACAGTACAAGGCTGTTTTAATGTACTTCTCTGCATGCCCCTGTCAGGGCCTCTTCCTCTACAGGCCTCCTAAAAACTCAGACCCAGAGGCTAAACATTTCAGACATACATACAGCTCCTCAAGGAAGATCAAAAGCACTCCAAGGGAATTGATCCACAAAATGAACACTAAAAATCCTTCACGTGCTCAAATGACTAGTTTTATAACACTTTAAATCATATCACTCATTAAATGTGATTTGATGTGATAATGATCAGGCTGAACAACTTGTGACACACGGGTACAAACACAAGACAAACAAGGATAATGTGGTTCAAAGCAAACATTAGGCCTGTCAGCAAACTAATCAAACAAAGACAAAGAGGTCATTAGTCTTACCAGCTAAATGGTCAGTTACCAGATAATCCGTCCTGTAAAGCTGCTCGTACTTGTCAGCCTGCCAGCTTTTGCCTAAAAACAAAACAAAGGGGGAAAAAAAAAATAAAAAAAATACACACATCAGACAGTCACCAATGATGCAAAACCACTTTAGGTTGCCAGAACTTAGTTACACGTGGCATGATTTGTTTGCATGTCCTATGACATCGCATAATTCTCATTTAAATACATGCAAACGTGACGCATTAAATAAAATTGGAAATAGGAACTAAAAGACTGCTTGTAGTTATCCTCATACAAGAGTTTCAAAATATTAAGTTATTAGCATGCTTAAATACGTTGTAAATACTAAACAATAAATGTATATAAAGACTTGGAAACATGCAAAATTAAACAAAAAAAACACAGTTGTGTTTAATTGCTGAAACGGCCCAGCGGCTCTCGCGACTTGCTAACGTGGCCATTCCTGCCTATGTCAGATTTAAATATGGCGGATTTACATTTCCTCTTAGAATGACACAACAAAGTAACTGGAGAAATAGTTCAACATAAATTTAATCAAGAAATGTTTTATGTGCGTAAACCGAGTTTCGTATGTAATATTTTCACCCTGTTGTATACATGCGCGCTACGTCAACTCATGACACGCCATGCTAACGGCTAAGTAGTGAAGACGGATTTCTCGTGTAACACTTAATTTCACAACTATTCGCATCTACAAACATTTGAATTCCGAGATGGGTGGGTGTGTACATATTTAATCGAATTAATAGGGTGTGTTGTTGGAAAATACCACAGTTCTTTTGGTTTGCGGCGATGAAAAACTTGTCCTGGCTAGACACCAACTCCAGTAAACTTTGAGCTGCGCGTGCGCGATGGTGACACGTACACCAGCTAGCGCGAGCGCTAACACACACTGGATAAGCAAAACTTTACTCTTATTGATCCTTTATACACCTAATGTCCCGAGAATGACAACGTCTCACAAGTGTACACTGAAAACACGGCCTTTGCTGACGGACGAATGTGAATGTTTAGTCAAGATCAGCATTAGTGACTGTCCACACAAAGTCCACGTAGGCATTAGAGCAAAGGGTGAAACAGTAGGGAGAAACTGACAGAGTCGAGCTAGAGCACATTTTCACAGCAAAACATTCACAGCCATGTACGTGTATCAGCGGTCAAGAAGAAGCAATGCAGACTTTCGGATGTATAATGTATGTAGACTGATTTGCGGAATGAAGAGTGACTTACTTGTGTTTGTGTTCCCGTCTGCCCTGTGTGGTGCAGAAGCTCGTAGTGAAACTCCACTGGCGAAAAGGAGGAGCAGCAGCCTGTGAGATATATAGCTCAAGCCTCCACCAATCACCTTCCCTCACGTCACATTGCCCGGCCGTACAGATCATACATGTATTTCTGAAAAGGAACAGTTTATAATGGTGGTGGGGATTCGGATTCAATCTTTTTACCAGTTTACTCGTTCGTTCTATTCCGCAGTTTACATCAGCAGTAGGTGGCAATAAGTGAGTGCATTGTTTGAATCAGTCAATTAATTATTCCTTAATAAACAACTTAACAACGCATGCTTTATTAAAACTTTTATCAAAAGTCCTTTATTAAAACGTATTTACATTCCAAAAGCGTTTATCTACTCCGTAACTAAAATGTATTGGTAGGAATTTTGATTCATTTTTGTAACCCGAATCTTTTAAATTCACTGATTAATTTCATTCATTCACTGATTCGTTCTTCTGGAGGTGACACCAGCAGTAGGTGGCGATAAGATAAGTGAGTGTATTTTTTGTATTTTGAATCAATCATTCAATCATTCAGCAACCGAGGTAGGCGTACTGTCCTTTAAGAACTTATTGGAATAGTTCATCTTTGTGCTAACCTTTCTGACACATTTACTGTGTTAAAATCATCAACACAGTGAATGAGTAAAAAGTAACACAAAAAAACGTTGTCCCTACGCTCACCCATTAATGTGTTAAAATGTAATAATTTATTTATATAGCGCCTTTCCAAAACCCAAGGTCACTTTACAAGTCAGGTTTAAGGAACAGAAACAGATAAACATCAAAACCAGAAGACAGAACACATAGCAAGAGCTGGGAGTAATATACAGAGACCACTTACAAAGTTAGATTAGAGATACATGAGAATGTAGATAAACATCCATAACAGGGTACAAATTACAGACTGAGAGCTGAAGAGTAATACTCAGAGAAAAAATTTGTTTTTAAGAGGTTTTTGAAGGAGAGAAGGGAGTATGCTTGACGGATGTTTTGGGGAAGAGCAGTCCACAATCTGGGAGCCACAACACTGAAAGCTCTAGATTCCATAGTCACCAGACAAAACTTAGGGGTGACTAACAATCCCTCACTAGAAGATTGTAACGAGCGGGCAGGACCATAAGGCAGAAGTAAGTCAGATAAATATGTAGGACCAAGGTTATGGAGAGCTTTATAAGTGAGAATTAGTATCTTGTAGTTTATGCGCAAAGAAACCGGAAGCCAATGAAGGTGATAGAGGATTGGGGTAATGTGATTGCTCTTTCTTGTGTGGGTAATCAAGCGAGCTGCAGAGTTTTGAACATATTGTAGTCGTTTGATATTATTAGCTGACAGGCCATAAAGAATAGAATTACAGTAATCTAGTTGAGATGCGACGAAGGCATGTATAACAGTTTCAGCATCCTGCTGACTGAGAGAGGATCGAATACGCGAGATATTACGCAGGTGGAAAAAAGCTGTCTTTACTACTTTACCAATGTGATCATTGAATGAAAGAGTGGAATCAATGAGAACACCAAGATTGCAAACTTAAGTAGAGGGCATAATCAGATCACCATCCAGATCCATCAGTTGACCAGAGAGCTTAGATAAACACTGAGGTGGAAGCTGCGCTAAAATAAATTAGAATGTCATCTGCGTAACAGTGGAAGTTAAACCCATAGCGTTTAATTATTTGTCCAATTGGTAGCATATAAATGGTAAAGAGGAGAGGGCCCAAAACAGAACCTTGAGGTACACAAGAACTGATGGATTTGATAGATGATTTGTGTTTCTGGTTTATAGCAAATTGTTGCCTCCCGGTCAAATAGGAGGAAAACCATTCAAGGGCTGTGCCAGTAATTCCAATTGCTGAAAGCCGTGAGAGGAGTATCTCATGACAAACAGTGTCAAAAGCTGAGCTGAGGTCTAACAGAAGGAGAGTGCTGAGAGCACCAGAATCAGAAGCTAAGAGAAGATCGTTAAGAACCTTAACCAGGGCTGTTTCAGTACTGTGTAATGGACGAAAGCCAGACTGGAAGGGCTCGTAGAGGTTGTGTTCTGTTA